CAAAAAGCTGCTATTTCAATTATTTTTTATAACTTTCAAGAATGCTTCCTAAAGGGGAACTCATCAAATTGCGGCCCTATGGGCGAAACTTTTGTCCGTTTTGCTCTATCTGAAGCCGTTTAGGCGCTACCGCCACGATAAGAGGAGAAATGTACGGAAATCACTAGGGATTAAGAGCAGCGGTAGTAAAAAGCAGTCCCGCAAAAAATGTTATGAAGCAAAAGTTGTAGAAAAATGTAAGCTCTTTAACTTTTGTTTTATAACATTTTGTGTGGGACTTCATTTTACAACCGCTGCTCTTAAGCCCCAGTGATTCCCGTACATTTCCCCTCCTATACGTGGCGGTAGCGCCTAAACGGCTTTAGATAGAGCAAAACGGACAAAAGTTTCGCCCATAGGGCCGCAATTTGATGAGTTACCCCTTAGGAAGCATTCTTGAAAGTTAAAAAAAATAATTGAAATAGCAGCTTTTTGAACAAATACCCAAAATGACCCCTAAATATGAATTTAAGCAAAAATCTTTGATGTGTCCTTCGATGACATATTTAGACCGACACTTTTCCAAAGTAGAATGAAAATCGGGAATTTACACTTGGCGGGGTTCCCTTGTTAGCACTAATGTATTTTTTTTTCAGTGCAATTTCACATTACCTCAGTACCGCCAACAATAAGCACTGTGCCACGTCTTACGTTACGTCTTACGTTACCTCTTACGTTACGTCTTACGTGACGTCTTACGTTACGTCTTACGTGACGTCTTACGTGACGTCTTACGTTACGTCTTACGTGACGTCTTACGTTACGTCTTACGTTACGTCTTACGTGACGTCTTACGTTACGTCTTACGTGACGTCTTACGTGACGTCTTACGGAGTCCGACTAAACCTAAATTTTACAGTCCAGATTGTAACAGGTCAGCCTGTACATTTGAATACAGTCTGACCGTATTCTACAAAACAGTGCAGACTCTTACAGGCGGTAACAGGTCGGACTGTAAAATTTAAAACAGTCCGACTGTAAAATTAAATACAGTCAGGCCAATATAAAAATTTATTGGCCATCCTGTACGAATTACTGTAGTTTTT